TGCCCCACAGAGCTAAGGGCGCAGAAACTCGCTTGGCCACACTCCCACCAGGCTGGCAGGGGGCTCGGTGCCGGGACGGTCCTGTGTGGGCGACGCCCGCCTCCCCCGCCTGATCACTCGGTACCGGGCAGCGCAGGTGCTGGCCGAGGGGTTACCGGGCCCTGGGTGTGTCCACACGCCTGTGACTGCCACAGTCAGGGCCCAGGACCTGGCTCCCTCCCAGCCTAGAGGAGGGTCGGAGGCTTCATCTCAGCAGAGCCAGCGGGAGAGGCCGGTGAGCGGCCGGATGCCGTGTCTGCACCCGGGACACCTGGTCCGAAAGGAGCTGTCCCCGGCCACGCGCCCCTGGCGCCATCTCCCCCTCCGCTGTGGGAGAGCAGCTGCCCGCGCCGGCAGCGCCTGCCAAGCCTCCAGCAGAGAGAGCGCCATCCCACCCTCTCCGGCACAAAGGCTCGCTCACGCCCTGCGCTGAACGATGCACAACGGCGCAGTCACACGGAGACGGGGCTGGGAGCCCAGCAGGGGGGGGGAGGCGGCAGCTGGGGGCCCAGCGGTGGCAGAGGGGCTCCCTGCCCGGCCGGGCCAGCAGCTGGACGTGGGCAGGAAAACAGCCGTCCTCAGTTGGGGTGGGGGTGGGGTTTGGGGAGGGGTCCAGGGACGAAGACCTCCAAACCCAGAATTAAGTCCCATCCGCCACCCTGGGGCTCCCCATCATCCAGGTCCCGAGGACCCTGCCCTGCCACCCCCCCACCCCCAAGCCAGGCAGCAGCGCAGAGCTGACCGGTCGCAGGAACTCACTGCGAAGAGCCTCGAGGCACCACCCCCCCGTGGGAGGCACCCCACGGCCGCACCCCCCCTCAGTGCTAACCTCGCAGGCAATTCACCCGCAAAAACCACAAAGGGGGCTTCAGAAGGCCGGGGAGGAGGAGGTACCTTCTCTAAAACAGCCCCAGGGCCCCCAGAGGCAGGGTGCAGCCCACCCCCCCCTCAGGGAGGCCCCTGGGTGAGGTGGGCTCCGGTGGGGACACTGCCAGCTCCAGCTCCGCTCTGGCCGGGCACCGACCACCTGCCCACGCCCGAAGGCCCACTTCTCTCCAGATCAGAGACTTTCATGTCCAGACTCGACGCTTCCCGCTTTCAGACCCACGGTGCACACCCCCGGGGCACCACCTGGCAGAGGGGTCTGCACAGCCTGGCCCGAGAGGGACCGAGCTACCCCAGAGGCAGGAGGGGGAAAGGGCCCTAGCTGGGCCCCGCCCCACACATCACTTTAGAACCCAGGCTGCTTCGAGGGAGCAACTGCCCCTGGGTCCCGGCTCTGCTGGTGCTGCATTGGGAGGCCGGCACGGGGCGTGCACAGCCAGGGCCGCATCGGGCAGGCGGGTGGGCGGCCGAGGCCAGCCAGGGCTGCATCGGGCAGGCGGGCGGGCGGCCGAGGAGAGCCAGGGCCGCATCGGGCAGGCGGGCGGCCGAGGAGAGCCAGGGCCGCATCGGGCAGGCAGGCGGGCGGCCGAGGCCAGCCAGGGCCGCATCGGGCAGGCGGGCGGGCGGCCGAGGAGAGCCAGGGCCGCATCGGGCAGGCGGGCGGGCGGCCGAGGGAGCAGGCCGTAGTGACCCCCTCCCACTCCGCCGTGAGTGCGTCGGGGACTGAGGCGTGAGCCAGAAACAGCACGTGGACAGAGCCCGACGTGCCCCGCGGACGCGGACCGCCGGCCGAAGGCGCTCACACCTGTGTGCGAAGGGGCATCACACACACGGGGACCACAGCTAAGCGAAGGCCCAAGTCCCACCTGTGCGTGCGACACCTTAAACGGGTGAAGCCGCACCCGCTGGGCAGGGGGGCGCAGGGCTGACCGGGCCGGGGCCGTGACACCGGCGACCCCCTCCGCACGCCGTCCGCGTGGGTCCCAGGAGCCCACGGAGCCCACCCCCCGGAGCCTCACGGGCCACAGGAGCATGGAAACGCCAAAGCTCCGAAGGCAGGCTCAGAGCCGCCCGTGTTCAGAGCGCCCAGCATGCTCAGAGCAGGAGCCGGCCCAACGCCCAGCACGCCCAGCACCAGCATCGGAGCAGGAGCCAGCCCAGCGCCCAGAGCGCCCAGAGCAGGAGCCGGCCCAGCGCCCAGAGCGGGCCTCAGAGCAGGAGCCAGCCCAGCGCCCAGAGTGCCTGGAGCAGGAGCCGGCCCAGCGCCCAGAGCGCCCAGAGCAGGAGCCGGCCCAGCGCCCAGAGCGGGCCTCGGAGCAGGAGCCGGCCCAGCGCCCAGCGCCGCGTGGCAAGGCTGGTTTTCCGGAAAACGGCTGCGGGAGCTCCAGAGCTCCGCTCCACCACCTGCCACCGAACTCAAGAATATTCTAGAAGCTCCAGACACCTGGAGATAGCACTATACTTCAGTGCAAACAAAAACCTCCTGTGCTAATTCAAATCACAAAGTAAAGAATTCCTTCTTTCCACGCCAGAAGGGTGGGTGTGGGGTGCATCTGGACAGAGTGGGGTGCTGGCCCCAGCCCTCTGTGCCAGCCATGGCAGCCTTGCAGAGTCCGGCGTGGGCGTGGCCAGCGTGACGGGAGGGGCAGGACAGGAACCACAGGGCGTTCTGGGGTGCGGGAGCCCCGCTCAGCACTGAGCCTGGAGCCTCCCTGGAGGGGCTCTCAGGAGCCGGCCACCTGGGGGCATGGCCTCAGCCCCACCCCAGCCTGTAAATGGAGGGGAGGAAGCAGGGGAACCAGTGCTGCGGGCAGGGGCTCTGGGAGGCGCTGCCACAGGGAAGGTGTGTGCAGGAAGGAAGACAGGGCGGTCCTTATGGACGGATGGACAGCCGGCCCACACCCATGGGGTCTTCTCTGCTCCACTGCCCTGCCCACCGCAGGACAGGCTGCCCTCCACAGATTCCCCAGGGCGGGTCCCCCAGGGCAGGTCCCCTGGGGCAGGTCCCCCCAGGGCAGGTTCCCCCCCCCACGCAGGTCCCCCCGGGGCAGGTCGCCCCAGGGCCGGTCCCCCAGGGCACGTCCCCCCCTGCAGGTCCCCCCGGGGCAGGTCCCCCCAGAGCCATACCCCGGGCGGGTCCCCCCAAGGCCGCCCCCCCAGGTCCCCCCCCCCGCAGGTCCCCCCAGGGCCGGCCCCCCAGGGCAGGTCCCCCCAGGGCCGGCCCCCCAGGGCAGGTTCCCCCCAGGGCTGGTCCGCTCCTGCCGGAGGCGCAGTCCGGGCCAGGCCTTCCAGGCAGCCCTCAGGGAACAGGACACTCTCACCGGCTTCCCAGCCAGGAAGTGGAAACCAGCGCCAGCCCCGCCCACACGCGGGTCTGTTTTGCTTCCTGGCGCCTCCCCCTCCGCCTCCCCCTCCTGGAGCAGCAGACGCCCTGGTTGTTTTCTCTCCATAGAAACCGACACAACACTGTGCCGGCCGGCCGGCCAGTGGCGGTGGCGGTGGCGCTGCCCAGCTGCGGGAGGCGGGGCGGGCGGGGGCTGGCCGCGGACCAGCGCGTCACCCTGTGCCCAGGCCCGGGCTGGCCGGCTCCGAACGCGGGGCTCCGGCCCAGCGGCACCGCCTGTGGCCAGTGCCCACGCGGGCGGGCCGCAGAGGGAACATTCCGGGTGAACTGAGAACACTCCGCAGGATGCCCTCACTTTCGAGCAGCAGCGTGACAGACCGGGCTGTCCCGCGGGCGGGCGGGGTGAGGCCCTGCCAGGGCCAAGGAGCCGCTCGGCTGTGTGTGCTCTGGCCTGAGCGTCCGGGAAAGACGGGGCACCAGGCCACACCTGGGGCCATCAGCGCTGCCCCAGCAGCCCAGGCAGGACCCCGCATGCTCCTGCCGTCACCCCCACCCCGAACCCTGTGTTACAGGGAGGACACGGCTTCCACCGCACAGTCACTGCCCAGCAGGGCCCGGCTCCAGGCCTGGCATCGGGCCCTCACAGGGTGCCAGGCCACGTCCAGGTGACAGCCTGCACCAGGGGGCCCAGGACTGACCCCCTCCCCCAATGCCAGCATCAGCCCGGCGCCAGTCCCTGCTTCCTTCACTACCAGAGACCAAGGACCATGTGGAAGGGCGGGGTCTTCCGGAGGCTTCTTGGCAGAGCAGTTCATGGGGGGGGGGGCAGGGGGGACAGAGGAGGGGTGACCAGGCCCTGGGAGGACAGCTGGGCTGGTGTGAGAGCTGTGGGCTCAGGAACACAGGAGAAGGCCCGCCCACCACCCCAGCACCGACCTGGGCCCTGTGCCTGGCCAGGGGAGGTCGCAGCCGTGGCGACCGCCCCCCCCCCCACGCTGACCCTCACGGAGACTGGGCTCCATGGCCTCACAGCACAGGCTCCTCTCTATCTGGTTCCACGCCCGAGCACAGCCCGTCCCCGCTGTCTTTCCACAGGTGCACGTGGGGAGGGTCAGGTAACGGGCCTCCCGCCCTCCCCGGAGAGGCCGCTGAGGAGGAGGTGGCCCAGAGGGCAGCAGCGGGAGCCCTGCCCGGGTCCTGTCCCTGCCCGGGGTCCTGTCCCTGCCCGGGTCCAGTCCCTGCCCGGGTCCTGTCCCTGCCCGGGTCCAGTCCCTGCCCGGGTCCAGTCCCTGCCCTGGTCCAGTCCCTGCCCGGGTCCTGTCCCTGCCCGGGTCCAGTCCCTGCCCGGGTCCAGTCCCTGCCCGGGTCCTGTCCCTGCCCGGGGTGCGGTCCCTGCCCGGGTCGCGGTCCCTGCCCGGGTCCTGTCCCTGCCCGGGTCCTGTCCCTGCCCGGGTCCTGTCCCTGCCCGGGTCCAGTCCCTGCCCGGGTCCTGTCCCTGCCCGGGTCCTGTCCCTGCCCGGGTCCAGTCCCTGCCCGGGTCCTGTCCCTGCCCGGGTCCTGTCCCTGCCCGGGTCCAGTCCCTGCCCGGGTCCTGTCCCTGCCCTGGTCCTATCCCTGCCCTGGTCCTATCCCTGCCCGGGTGCGGTCCCTGCCCGGGTCCGGTCCCTGCCCGGGGTGCGGTCCCTGCCCGGGTCCTGTCCCTGCCCGGGTCCTGTCCCTGCCCGGGTGCGGTCCAGAGGGCCCGGCTCCTGCAGTGCAGACAGGATGCCGAGGGCGGCCTCGGGGACGGCCAGGTGAGCCCGGCGGGGGGTGGGGCCCCTCGGTGCTTTGAAAAGCCGGCTTCCTTGGCCGGCTGAGCTGCCTGGAGCGGAGGCAGCTCACAATGGCGGCCGGGCAGAAAGGGCCTCTGTCTGCAGGCTGGGCGTGGGGTTCGCCTCGGGTTTGCCTTGGCGGGGGAACAACTTTCCGCGCCGCCCCTCCCCCGCCCGCGCCTGCAGCTGGAGCTGTCCTCCGAGGGAAGGAGGCATTTCCTGTGTCCCCTCCCCCTAATTTCCCGGCATTCTTGGCAAGTCCAGAGGAGAGGCGGGAGAACAGGGAGGGGGCCGCCCGCCAACCCCTCGGGGCGGGCACCAGGGCAGGGACGGGGGCACACGGTGCCCAGAGCAGGCGGAGGGGGTCAGGGCTCGCCGTGGCTGCCTCCCCAGGTGGCTGCCAGGCCCGAGGCCCACAGGCGCAGGAGGAGGGGACGGCTCAGGCTGCCCGCACCCAGCGCCGGCTGTGGGCTGAAAGTGTCCGGCATGCGGGCCGGCCCGCTGGAGGCGCCTCCGGGACACAGAGGTGCCAGGTGGCAGTTCAGGTGACGGTCCCATCACCGCACGAGCCCCGCACACGCGTGCCACACGGAGCTGAGCCTGGCTTCCAGGAAGGGGGCGGGGAGGTCGGGGCAGCTGGGCTGGCGGCCACCAGGAGCGGCTGAGGCCTCCCAGCCCTCTCCCACCTCCCCAGGGCCTCCATCTGACCTCACTCTGCATCAAGGGAAGACGAGTTTCTGCCTGGTTCTGTAGGTCAGTGCCCGTCAGGGAGGGGGCCTGGGGAGGAGGTCCCAGCTGGTGTGGCGATGCCCCTGGGGTCACCATGGACACGTGTCTGAGGCCAGCAGAGGCCCTGGGTATCTCTGGGCCTGGCACTTAGTAGGGGGGATGCTGCTGCCACGCGGTGACCACCCCCCTCCGGGCCCGGAGCCCCAGCGCCAGGTGCTGGGCCCTGCATGAAGGCATGGCCGGGCCTGCAGGGGGCATGCCGTGCTGCCCTCCTGGCACCGCGGAGGACAGCCCGTCCCGTGAGCTGAGCGCAGGTACGCAGGCTGCGGCCGGCTCGAGGGCGGGAAGACGGCGCCGTGAGGCAGGAAGCGGAGTCACATGCAGATGGCAAGGACAGGGCGGCCGCCAGCCTGCCTGAGCTCCGCCCGCAGCCCCCGGCACCAGAGGGAGGGAAGCCCCTCGCACACGGCCGCTGGGTGCACACTGCTGGTCACACGTTGCCCTCGCTGGAAGCCGCCACAAGGAGAACGTGGACAAGGACACGGACGCACGGTACTGACGAACGAAGCAGGAGGTCACAGGCTTCAAGAAGTGTTATGCACCGAAACCGGTGTGGCTCAGTGGAGAGAGCGTCGGCCTGCGGACTGAAAGGTCCCAGGTTCGATTCCAGTCTAGGGCATGTACCTTGGTTGCAGGCACATCCCCAGTAGGGGGTGTGCAGGAGGCAGCTGATCGATGTTTCTCTCTCTCATCGATGTTTCTGACTCTCTATCCCTCTCTCTTCCTCTCTGTAAAATCATCATTAAAAATATTTTTTTTTTTAAAAAAAGTGTTACATTTTGCCCCGGCCGGTGTGGCTCAGTGGCTAGAGCGTCGGGTTCGATTCCCATCAAGGGCACAGGCCCGGGTTGGCGGCTCAATCCACAATAGGGGGTGTACAGGAGACAGCCGATCAAGAGTCATTGATGTTCAGACTCTCCTGCAGCCGGAGGAGGATGCTGGCCGGTGGCTGCTGTCCCGCCCCCGCCAGCCCGCTCGGCAACTTCCTTCCAGCATTAAAGGCGCACTAGAACGTTTCCACAAACAACACCCCACTCCTCCCGCCCCAGGCTGGGGACCAGGCCCTGCCCAGGTCACGTCAGAAAAATGAACCCCGTTTAAGACGGTAAACCCAGCCCCAATGAAAGCCAGAGGGCCACCATGTCCTGGATGTGTGCGACCTCTGGCCCTGCCCTGGCCCTGAGCCACCCCCCGCCCCGCCGCTCAGCACAGCTGCCCTCTGCTGCCCCTCCGGCAGCCACAGCGGCCCCCAGGGAAACCCAGGCAGAGGGCACCGTCCATCCCACTGCCCACCGCACGCTGGCCCTGGCCGGGTTCCACGTGCAGGAACACGTCGTCGGGGTCACGTGGCCAGTGTAACGAGGCTCTGCGTGCCAGGACACAAAAGGCCACGGTGTGGCCACGAACGCGGGGCCACGCGAGCGAGTGGAAGGACGTGGACCGGGAACGTACACACAGGCTTCGCTGAGCACAGCTCCAGAGGCGCGAGCAGCACAGCGGAGTGAGGGGCCCCCGGTGCTATGGGCATGGGCTGCCCGGGCGGGCAGAGAGCAGGCGGAGGCGCAGGGCGAAGGGCTGCCCACACCTCGGCCACGCCGCCTCCGAGGAATGACGCCAAGATGGTCCGTGCCCGCCACCCCCTCCCCCACAGCCACACGACACCCTCCCCAGGCCCAGGCCCGCAGCTCTGTGCACCCCCTACTCTGGAGCATCGAGTCCTTGGGCCGCCCCATCTTCAGGGCCACCAGCGGGGACTCCGCACAGGATCCATGGTCACAGTCACCGTGGGGGCCCCCACCAGACCTGGGGTCCACAGGCCGCACTCAGGTCAGAGCCTGAGACCCCTCGGATTCCATGCTCGGACCCCACACGCATGGGTGCCGTGCTGGGCCCGAGCGTGCCACCCTCAGGGCATGGCGCCTCCCCCCGCGGAGCCCGCGCACCGCCTCCCAGCTGCCGGGACGGGACCAGTGCCGGACGGCAACGTGACCAGCAGCAAGGGGGGCGGGCGGCCACGCCCCACAGCCCAGACTCGGTCCCACCACCGGCGCAGAGCGAGGAGGAACCTCGGCACCTGCCTCCTGCTGGCAGCTTCGCACAGAAGGGCCCGTGGGGCCACCCCGCCTTCACCCACAAAGAGTGTCGGATACAACGCCAGCCACCCCCCCCCCCGCCCAGCACCCTCTTCCAGGCTGGGCGCGGGCCGAGGCCCAGCACCCTCTCCCAGGCTGGGCGCGGGCCGAGGCCCAGTGGGCACCGGGGGCACAGGTGAAGGGCCAGAGGCCTCGGGTCGTTGGGAAGAGTGAGCCAGGCAGACACGTGGGCCTCGAGATGGATGTTTCTGGCGGGAGGCAGGCCCCGTTCACAGCGGGCAGCGTCACGGGCAGCAGCTCCCCGACCTCGGACCCGGGCTCCTGCTCCTGACGCCCCCGAGGGAGGAAGCGCGCTGCAGGCCGCTGGGAGCCGGGGCCTCGGGGTCACTGGGGCTGCGGGTGCGGGCGTGGCACATGGCGCGTGGCCAGGGTGCCCGCCGCCCTGGGAACAGAAGTGCCACCTGATGGGCCCGATAAACTGGGCACACGTGACAAAGGCGGGAGAGGAGACCGGCACTGAGACAGGCCCCGCACTGCCACAGGGCGCCAAGCTGCAGCAGGAAGCGAGTCTGGCCATTAAGCCACAGACGACAGTCAGGAGACGTGGGCGTGTTTGACTGCAGGGCTGGGGTGACCAGCAACAATGTGGAAATGCTGCCGCACCTGCCGGTCCTTTGTTTTTTTTTAAATATGTCTTATCGATTTTCTATAGAGAGGAAGGAAGAGGGATAGAGAGCTAGAAAAACCGATGAGAGAGAAACATCCATCAGCTGCCTCCTGCACACACACACACACACACACACACACACACCCCCACTGGGGATGTGCCAGCAACCAAGGTACATGCCCTTGACCGGAATCGAACCTGGAACCTTTCAGTCACAGGCCGACGCTCTATCCACTGAGCCACACCGATTAGGACACCTCCGTTATTTTAAAAAAGGTGCCAAGGGCTTCAGGCCGGAGCCAGTGCGTGCCCATCATCCTGCAGGGACCCCGGAGCCCGGACAGGGTGCTGCTCTCGGTGCCCCACGCGGACGGGGATGGGGACGGGGGCGGAGGCTCCGGGGCTGCGCCGTCCCCGTCACCCTGTACGCGGAGGGTACGCTCACCTCGCCCTGGTTTCTGGCCCGACCAGGACGGACAAGTGTCCCTGCTCCGTTTCCACCGCGTCTCTAAGCCGCTGAGACGGCAGCGGTGGCTGCCATTCAGGCCGCCCTGTTTCTCACCCTGAAAGGGCCTGTCAGAGCCCCCGGCCCCGGCCTCAGAGGGCGCGGGGTCGTGAGAACGGGAGGGCCGGCCATAAAAACCAGGCAGTGACCTTTCGACCCGGCCTCTTAGCAGGCGCAGTCCTGGAGCTCGGCGAGGGGCTGGGGGCGGGGTGCCCCCCGGCCAGGCCGAGCCCCTTCCCGAGGCCCCTCCGCCTGGCTGGCCTGCACCTGCCCACGGGCCAGGCCCCTGAAGCAGCCCGGACACCGGACAGGCACCACCCTGTCCCGCCGGGCTGGGGGCGACGCCGGTGGTCTTGGGGACCAGGTCCCCCTTCACGAAGGGGCTCTGGGAATCTGGCCGCAGCCCTGGTCCCCCACACCCGCCACTCGGCCACCAGCACAAACGTCAGCACATCTTGGCCCTGTGGCTGGGGGAGGGCCCCGGGGCACCCAAGTCCCCAGGAGCCCCTCGGAGTCAGGTGTGGACCGAGCCCAGGGGGCCGTGGGGCGGCGAGGCCCGGCACTGACAGGCAGAGGTGTCAGTGGGCACAGGGCGGCACCAGCAGGGCCTCAGCCTCCTGGGAAACTGAGCAACGGGACGCTGAGGAGGCGACCAGGCTGCCAGTGCCCCCGGAGGAAGGAGGCGGCTCCCCCCAACTCCCAGCAGACCACGGGGCCGGTACCCGCCAACTGGAGCCTTCGGGATGGGCCAGAGGCTGGGGAGGGGAGGCGTCAGCTAGGGGAGAGCGTGACCCGGCAGCCCAGGCTGGCGCAGGCCGAGGGGCTCCCGTGAACGTGTCTGTCCGTCCGAGGCCGTCCCCCGGCCGCCCGCTCTGTCCGCCCGGATTCCCAACAATGGGCCGGCCCTGCTCGGCCGCCGGCCGTACTGGGACCCCGAGGAGAGAGGGCGCTCGCTCCACCCCCGCTCCCGCTGGAGGGGCTGAACTTTTCACCCCCCGCCCAGACCGGGGGGAGGGCCACAAAGGTGTCTGCGGGGTGGGGGCCGCCGCCATCTGCACCCGCTCCCCCGCCCCTCGCGATGTGGATTGCCGTTTTACAATCGCCAGATGGCGGCCAGGGCCTGCAGGCCTCATCACCACTGTGACCGCCTGACCCCTCGTAAACGGGCCGGGCCCGGACCTGGGAGGGGCCGTGCAGGTCACCAGGCGGCGGCCAGCGTCCCCAGATCCGCTCCAGTGCGAACGGAAAAGAACCAGAACCCGCTGGACGGGCACCGGGGGCAAAGCCGACGACAGCCCAGCAAGTGCCATCCGGCCGGCCCCTCCGAGCAGGGCACGCCTGGCGTGGCGGCCACAGGCCTGCGCCCCGCCCGCCTCCCCTCGGGGTGACGGGACAGCAGCCAGGCCGCACGGCGGGTCTCAGCCCTCCTGGTGCAGGAGCCGCTAGTCGCCTGGAGAACCGCCCGGGCCGGGGCCAGGCACGTTCGGGAGCAGAGGCCCTGCCTCCACCTGGTGCCGGACGCCCGGGCCTCTCGTGTCCCCAAAACATGCCCAGCGAAGAGCCGCCGAGAGCCGCGGGGCACGCCCCTCCCGGGAACAGCCTTTGCCCGCACCGCGCAGGTGAGCGGACACGCGCTGACGCGGGGCCCGGAGCCCGGAGCCCACGCCGGAGTCTCCGGAGCACACGGCCCTGCCGTGGCCTGGCCACAGCCCACGGGGGCTGGGGCACAACGGGGCGCTCACGTGACCGCACCCGGGGGCAGCGGCCGGCCGTGCCTACAGCTCGGCTGTCCGGGAGGGTCCCCAGCGAGCCGCGCCTCCCCGGAGGGAGCCCCGAAAACGGAAACAGCCGGACCTGCCCGGCCCCCCGCCCCCACCGCGGCCACAGCTGTCGGCACTGCCCACACTTGCGGGCGGGCGCCCCGAGAGCACGTGGACGCCACGCCGAGCTGCAGCCACCAACCGGGCCGGCGCGGGCCCGTGCAGCTGCCAGTCTGAACAGCCAAAATCACGGCACTTTGTTCCCATCAGCTCTCGCTGACGCTGAAAAGGCGGTAATGGAGATGTGAACAAAACACACCAACGCAGCCAAATCACCGCAGAGAGGAAACGGCATCCGCTCACGGACACGCCAGTCAGCACAATTCAGCAGCTTCCGGAACCTTCCACCTCGGAGCTGGATTCGCTCACCTTCCTCCCCAAGCCACGCTCACCACGAGGACCTGCCACTCAAAGGCGGGCGGGCTCCGGCCCCATGGCTGCGCTCCGGCCGCCTCAGCTGTCTCCTGCCTCTCCGTTCCCCGTCGCTGACGAGGAGGGCGCGGACTAGAGGCTCAGAGTCCACGCTGTGGGGGCAGCAGCCACACTGCGCCGGGGCCACGTGCTCCAACACGCGCACTGGACACGGGGCCACAGGACACAGCCACTGCAGGCGATGATGCAAGAGACAGGCCATCACGGGGGCTCTAAGCACCCTGCCTGCTGCCCTGGGTGCCAGGCCTCCGAGGGGACCCAGGCGGACCCCAGAGAAGAGGGTGCACGGCTGGGGACCCAGGGAGACTGTGTGGCCAGGTCCATGGGAGGCGGGGCAGAGGGGGCGCAGGGAAACCCTCAGGAGGATGGAGGGGGTGGGCTGGGGCTGCGTGGCCCGTCCGCCTCCAGCCCCGTTCCCACTGGCAAACCGGAAACCTCCGACTCAGGGCCGGCTCCGGAGGAGGCTTCGCCACTGGCCCAGCGGAGCCCCCCAAACCTGTCTCCAGGGGCTCACTGCGCCCGGGACAGTGAGGGGAGGCCTCAGGGCCCGGAGACCCCGGCGCCCGCCGGGCCCCCCTGCGCGGCCGCGGCTGCAGCGGGAGTGTGAGCGCGACGAGGAGACCCTCGTCCTCGGGGCACCAGGAGGCGCAGACGGCGTCCCCCAAGGACACACACCGGCTCAGACACAGGCACACGGACACAGTGTCCCCGAACCAGAGGGGAAAGCCAGGCCGGTGAACCGCGCTGGGTGGCGGCGGGCGGGCAGCTGAGGAAGCAGCGGGAGAGCAGGCCCCAGGTGAGACCAGCGCCCGGCCAGGGGCCGCCCAGCACGGCCAGTGGACGGGCAGCTGAAGGGACCGGAGCAGGTGTGGGGGCAGGAAGAGCGGGAAAATAGTGGCCAAAAACCTCGGGAAAAAATAAATAAATAAGAAAACCTACAGCCCTAGCCAGTCTGGCTGCACCGAAGGGTTGCGGGTTCAATTCCTGGCCTTGGTTAGGGCGTGTGTGAGAGGCAACCAATCGCTGTTTCTCTCTCACTTTCCATCTTTCCCTCCCTCCCTCCCTCCGTCGCGCTCTCTCTAAACAAAAATAAAAGTAACGAAGAGAAGCTCCCTGTCCGCCCTCCGCTGGGAAGGCGCTGGCTGTGGGGGAGGCCCAGGCGGCGCCTCCTGCGTTTCTGCTCCGGCCGCCGGCCTTGGCTCCTTCCCGGCTGCTGGGCCCTTCCCGGCGAGGCACTCTGCCTCGTCTTCCGGGGACACTTGTGTGTGGTTTACAGCTTTTCCTCTTTTTTATTTCGTCACTCCTCACCCTAGGATGTTTTTTCCGTTGATTTCTTTTCCTTTTTTTTGAGAGAGAGAGTGAAAGGAAGGGGGAGAGACAGAGAGCGAGAGAAACATCCATGTGAGAGAGACACATGGATGGGTCGCCTCCTGCACATGCCCTGACCAGGGCTGGGGTTTGAACCTGCAACCAAGGTCCGTGCCCTTGCCCAGCCTGGAACCCAGAACTCACCTCTGAGCCACACTGGCCAGGCAATGAGGACACTTCAGACTCACAAACGCCGTCCCCAGCAGACCCTGTGCTGAAGGAACCGGGCAGAAGGAGCACCAGAAAGAAGGCTGTCATCTGTCTGTCTGTCCACAGGAAGAAGTAGGCCAGAAACGGTAGCTACAACGTAACCACGTCCAGTCTGTCCTCATTATCTAAGCGCCTGGAAGCAGCGATTAGGCACAAACAGCCACGCTGTATCCGTGGCTCATGGCCGTGGTGGTGGTGTATGACGGTGTATGGCGGTGTATGATGGTGTATGGCAGTGTATGATGGTGTATGACAGTGTATGAAGGTCCAGCAGGAGCAGTTGGCGAGCAGGGGGAGGGAAGGCCTCTCACAGCCAATTGCTGACGGTGGATGGTGGAAAGTGAAAAGGTGGACACCCAAGGCCCAGAGAAACCCAAAAAACGAGAACAAGCACAGCCAACCATGAGACATAATTATATCTAATATCAGTAATATGCAAATTAACCATCATTCTGTCACACCCACAAGCCAATCAGGAGCAAGTATGCAAATTAACCCAACCAAGATGGCTACAGCCACGGAGGGAGCAGGAGAGGCTTGGGTTTCCCTAGCAATGGAGGAAGCCAAACTTCCTGGCCAGCCCAGACCTCCGCTCCAGGCTACAAAGTTTCAATTATAGAAGATAAATAAGTCCCAGATACTAGGGCCTCTGCTTGGTCACTGGGGGGCCTTGGCCTGCAAACCAGCACAGGCCCCTCTCCCAGGCAACCCAACACCACAAGGGAATACCCACCATGATCCAAGACACCCTTTAGGGCAAACCAGCTGGCCCCCTCCCATGCACCAGGCCTCTATCCTATCTAATAAAAGAGTAATAAGCAGATTGACCATCACTCCAACACATAAGATGGCTGCCCCCATGTGGTCGAAAATCTTTCCTCCATGTGGACACAAGATGACCACCACAAGATGGCCAGCAGGGGAGGGCAGTAGGGAGGGACCAGGCCTGCAAGGGAGGGCAGTTGGGGGTGATCAAGCCTGCAGGGGAGGGCCGTTAGGGGCAAATAGGCTGGCAGGGGAGCAGTTAGGCATCAATCAGGCTGGCAGGGGAGTCATTAGGGGGCGATCCAGCTGGCAGGCAGACGTTAGGAGCAATCAGGAAGGCAGGCAGGTGAGCAGTTGGGAGCCAGCAGTCCTGGATTGTGAGAGGGCAGTCGGACATCCCTCGAGGGGTCCCAGATTGGAGAGGGTGCAGATTGGGCTGAGGGATGCACCTTCCCCACCCCCCCCAAGCACGAATTCCGTGCACAGGGCCTCTACTCCTATATAATAAAAGCCTAACATGCTAAGTGTCTGGTCATCCAATCAGGTGTTCAACCAATCAAAACACAA